ATTTTTTTTATTGGAAATAAAATGTAATATCATGTGATATGTTATTAAGACCAATCAGGAAGTGTGAGGGAGGTTTCCAAAATGTCTCATTGCCACCCATGAGATAATTCAGGTGGGATAGCAATTCTGGGAAACGGTCCCATCCTCTTCTGAAAACTATCTCATTGCTTGCACAACTCTTCGGGTATACACGTGTTTTTGACATGGCAATCCCTATGTTGCGAAAGACCTCATTGTATTTGAGACTAACTAAATTTATGGGGCGCCTACTTTGGAGTTTTCTAAAAATGAAATATCGCTGTTTTACAAAATGTGATGCAGCCCATTATGCGCCGCGACAATTTACGACAACGCGGAGCCGTGCTCATTTGAAAACCTTAGCATGTGCAAACCATCTGTACAGTACCGTCTAGACAATATAACAATGAAGTCTAGTCCATCCTAGGTAACTTTGAGAAAAAATCGAATTCGATTGGCTGCAGCCAGTTACTAATTTTCCGAAAGGACGGCAAAAGAACAATGTCGCCCTCTCGTCTTCAAGTAGTCTTGATGCAAGAGTCCTTGAGGTTCAGTTGGTGAGCAAGATTCCGAGTGACATTTAACCAGAAAATAAAACAGACAGTTTAACGAAATGGAAATAGACAAAGAATTTTGGGAGGAATTTATAAATATTTACAAGTTACATGAATGTTTGTGGAATAACAAAATAGAAGCATATGCAAACATAAACATGCGTAATGCTGCATATAATAAACTAATTGAAAAATGCAAAGAAAGATATCCAGCTGCTAACAAAGATTTTGTTACTAAAAAAATTCATAGTATGAGGTGCAGTTTCCGGAGAGAGTTAAAAAAAGTGCAATTGTCAAAACGAAGCGGCAGTTCTGCGGATGATGTATATATCCCAACGTTGTGGTACTATAATCAACTAAAATTTATCACAGAATGTGAAATATCTCGTCAGGGAATGTTGGCTTTGGATGATGAAATAAAAAATGAACCGGTAGAAAATAATATTGAAGATGAGGTACGTATAGATCTTTATATTTAAAGTGGCAATATACTGTGTTTGGTAAACTGTATTATTATTTGTCATTTGTTCTTGGAATTGAACACTTCCTTCATTATTAAAATAAATTTTATATTGATCTCGAATTTCTTTGGCTTGTGTAGTTGTTCTTCTTGGTGTACCTTGCAATGATTATAAATTGTTTCCATTCTGACGCCAATTCCCAGATATAATTGTTCTTCTTTCCATATGTTCTGTGTCACTGTAATAACTCGGTGAATAAGTTGCAAGTGATACACGTCTCAAATAATTATGGAGCACGCAAGTTGCTAAAACTACTTTATCAACA